ATTTTGTTTATCTATTTTGCTTTCTTTCATTATGTCTAGCTAAGTTAGTTATGTCAAGGTGAAAATGTTACGCTAATGATGTCAGAATAAGTATAGTATAAACTCAACATGGACTTTAATGTTTGATACTAACATGTTTTGTATTTATTATCTTGTTCATTCTTAATACTTTACTTGTTAAATGATTAATCTAGATTTATATTGTATAACACTTGGCACAACAAATACTTGGTACAATAAATACTTGGCACTTTCATAGCTCAACCGTATGGTATAACTGACACTTGTGCTATGAAAGGAACTTGATTTGTTGTTCACATAAGTTATAATCATGAATACTTGACAATATTTATAAGTATTAGCATTATTCGAATAAGAGAACTAATGTAATTATATTAACAATTTATAATCTGATTGGAACCTTCTTCGTGTGTGGTTTCTAATTGAATAATAAGAGTTTATACCATACATGTTTGAAATACCATTAATGGATCCTCTAACCTTGACATTTGTTGTTATTATTGTTTAATCCTCACATTAATTTTCGATCTTAAAGTTCTCATCAACTTCTTTTTTTTTCTTCTTCTTCTATTGTTGTTGTTGTTGTTGTTGTTGTTATTGTTATAATTTATACAATTAACCTCTATGTAATTCGATCTCGGTTTTACTGGGTTATTTATTACTTCGACACTTCTGCATTTAAAAGAAGATATCAATCTTTTGTACATGTTAGTTTATTTCACTCCCTTAGTTTTATTCTGATTTAATCCTTTGGTATTTTTTTCTTTTCACATTTAAGTTAAGGTTAGGTAAGACTTAAATGATGACAATGTTAATTTTTTTAACTAAATCACCATTTAAATTGGATAACCATTTCTTTGATGGTTCTCGTGGTTAAACAAGCTACTTTCATATTTTTTATTTATTTATTAGTATTTACAGTGGTTGATTGGTTTAGTCTTGAGTTTTTAATTCATCGAATGCAAACAAAAATAACAACATTTATATTTTTTCATTCAATTATATGCACGGGACTAATTAAAGGCTAGTGGGTTCCAAGAATAATTAGGTGAAAGTAAATGATATGATGTAATGCATTTTCTTGATGATATTTATTACATTAAAAAAATTAAATAAAGGAAATGAAGTTTTTTTTAGGTTTATTTTATTTTATTTTATAATCTTAATTTGAAATGAAACTCCTCCACATCCTAGATTGGACTCCCCTCCAATTAGTGCTAGCATAAGTACTCCACATGGACTCCCCTCCAATTAGTGCTAGCATAATAAATTAATTTAGCTAAATCATAAACTTTTAAATTTCGATTGATGGTTAGGATTATTTTATATATTTATTGACTTTAAAATAATTAAATTACCTAATTTATGCCAAATGAAAAGCATTTTCTTTTATTTTTTATGATTATTAAGAAACATTCCGAATTTATACAATCTCTTGTAACTCTATTTTTCTTCTAACAAAAATAAGAATCAGTGCTTAAAAGAAAACTTATAACTAATCAAATTTACAAGTAGTACTTCACTTGAAAAGGTTCAAAGATATTAGTGAATGCTTTCTCATTCCCTTTGTAATCTTCTCTTATGGTTGAATTGTAAAATCAAGGGTAGGGATTTGATAATGGGTTTGGCACCAGCCTGGTCCATTCTAGACTACAAACATTAGTCGCTAGGGCCGAAGATGCTTTGCTTTTGATGTTGAAATATTAGCTATGAAATAATGACATATGGGCTATATCATTATATCGCCCCAATTTAACTTTTTATGTGAAGGATGTTTTCAATTGATTACTTTCACTTATGGAAACATACAGTGCTGTTGAGAGAGTCTCTTCTTTCTGCCAGCATCCATGATGATAAATTTGGTAGCTAGAGATATTGTGGTTGGTTATGGAGGTGGTGAAAGAAGATAAATTTAACTTCCTCTATGTATAGAATTATCCAATATATATATGTATTGAATGGTGGGTATATATATATATATATATATATATATTTGTGTGTGTGTGTGTGTGTGTGTGTGTGTGTGTGTGTGTGTGTGTGTGTGTGTGTGTGTGTGTGTGTGTGTGTGTGTGTGTGTGTGTGTGTGTGTGTGTGTGTGTGTGTGTGTGTGTGTGTGTGTGTGTGTGTGTGTGTGTGTCCCTTGAATGGTCAAATTGGTGCGCATTACATTAAGGAACGTTTCTTTCCTCTAAACCCTTAATATTCCTATTTCCACCATTTATTTATTAAGTTTTAATGGTCATGGTATCTTCGGGTTAGTTTCTGCATTCCAACATTGAGTTTCTTTCTAGTTACACTTAGAATTTAGAGCCCGAAGAATGTATTCACTTACAACTAGTTTAAATTTCAAAAAATCAAGAAAGGAGAGATTTGAATTTGTAACTTTCTAATAAAAATTTCAAGCTTTTAAGCACAAGAGTGTCCTTTAGAGGGCATTTTCTGAAATATCTTTTTGTGGGGATCAATATTATTAATATATCGGAAGGCTTATAAATCTCCCGTGCAATAATCACGAGATCTCGGTTTTTTAGTGCAGTACTGTTGCTTAGTACTGGGTAACTTAGTTAGTGTAAATTCGTTCGAGGGAACAATTATTTTCCCTCTGAAACTACTGTCTCATGCATGGGTTTGTGATGAAGTTCTTGGAATTGACATCTGCCAATTCAAATGTAACATGTACCGCAAGGTTTGTTCCCTCCATACTCATGAGTACCTAACCTCAACACTCTTGCTTACTCATACATCACATGAAAATATCTAACCATTGTCAGCATATTAATTATATTTGATATGATTTCTTTATAAATAAAGTTAGGAATAAAGGTTGATTGCAGGCTCCATATTGTTCTAATACTTAATATTAGAAAGCTTGAAAAGGATGCGGTCAGTTATGTTCTTGGAGATCCTTTCATGTCTTTCTATCTTCATCTTTGAACTAATGAATTTTATTGACCAACAAAACGAGATGAATTATATAGGCAAGCTTTTTGATCAGCTTTTAAGTATATGGCTAAGTGAATTCTCTATCATAACAACCAACATGATTAGTTTTGTGGGCCTATAACCTTAAATACAAAGTTATCTTACCATATAGATTGGACTACCACATTTAGGAAGTACTCCCCAGATTTCTTCTCTGAGCTCCTCAATGTAATATTGCAAAATGGCTGATGAACTACATCAAGAATCAATCAGCAAAGTGGCACAATTATTGGGCTAAATTGGAATAAAAGATATGCAAAGGTAGAAGCTTATTCACTTGATTCGATAACTATAAGATCAATTTTGAGGGAAATGATCAAGCTTCTGCTGCTGCTGCTTAAATTGTTATTGTTCAAACTTCTCATGCTTTCATTACAACTTAGGTGGGAAGGAGAGATTTAAGAATGCTATCAGCCGAATATATACCGGACTCATTTGAAGAATAGCAACAAATCATATGTTACATAAAAAATTAAGTTCACTATAATTTCATAACAATAATATTCATTATCTTCCACCGTTAGTTTCACCTTTGTTTAGTAGATACTCTTTCTGCCTTGTGAGATTGTGACTCAAAGACAACATAACTGCTGCATTACATATGCTTTATTCGCTCCAATCATGAAGCTTATAACAGCTAATTCATCCTAGTGCCAGCAATTTGCTATGGCAATGTTCATTGATCATCAAAAACACATCACTCAGTTAATTTTCACTGTTCTCCATTAGCTTTTCACATACACAAATCATATATAGAGGAGCGCCACTTATGATGTCCATCAACCCTAAAAACCATTAATAATAAAACAACAAGAGCAACAATCACAAATCCAAACAGGAAAAGTAAAAGTCATACACTATACATAAAACCCCAGCACTCATCGAAATTCTAATTACCATTTGAAGAAGGTGATGAACAATCACATACCACCTCTGTCTCCACTTCCCTTCTGTGGTAGTTTCTATGGCAACCACAAGCGGCACATGTGAGTGCACCAGCTGTGCCTTCCTCGCCATTAGCCATGAACTCTCTGCACCCGTCAACAGCATAACCTCCAACACTAACAGCATGATTCTTTAGGCACTCTCCATACTTAACATTCCTGATAGTGAAAGAAGTCGTTGAGCTTCTTGAAGGTTCTTCCATTCTTCTTACCACTACTTGTCGCTTCCTCATCATGCTACTCCCTAATTCCACACTGCCTTTTCCTCTTTCAAATCCTTGATAAACTAGGCTAGAACTCTCCAATTGGAAGACTGGCCTATAATTAGAAGCTGGCATCTGGAGAGAAAGAGGGGAAAAGAGAGAGAATCAATAACTTGCTTTTAGTTGTTACTACAAGCCCTAACCCTAGAGGGTGTATTTATAACATGTAAACCGGACTTAATACATTTTAGCAGGTACCATGACCTTTTAATTACTATTTACTTTTCTTTCTAACAATATGTGTGTGCGTCGTAACGTATTAATTTTGCCATACACTTTCATACAAAAGAAGAAAAACCCTAAATGATGAAAAACGTATTAATTTTGCCATACACTTGCCTTTGTATCAGCTACTGTGAAATGGTAATCCAACTGCCTTGACAACAGATTAGCATAGTAACAAATAAAAGAAGAAAAACCCTAAATGATGAAAAAGCTTTACTTTTCGCGCTAAACTCTGATTGGTTTAAAGTAGAATGAACAGCTAAGATCTTAAACCTAATGTATACTGTGGCCGGCCCCTAAACTGTTGCTGATGCTAAAAGGAAGTTTTGTGGGGTGCATTGATACGATGCCAACAAAATTTGTCTAGCTAAACCTGATAACATGTCAATGTTAAGTAATCCTGCCAAACCTGTTTGAAAAGGCCTTCAATTTTCGAGTAAATCACTCAATATTATAATTTTAATTATAAGAAGAACTAAAAGACATGGGTAAAAGGAACAGTTCCATCCATTTCTTAAAATTCACTCTAGGTTATAACAGTAAGAAAAAAAAATTATTCAGGTCACTGAATCTTTTTTCCCCTTCAATTTCATCATTTCTTGTCATGTTTTTCATTTTTTATGCGTTGATATTTTTTCTGTATTCATTTTGTTGGCAATTTAATGTTTTGGTCAAATTTCTGACTTGAGATAGAGTCTGATTGAATAGGATAAATCATTGCAGTTAATTGCATAGAACACAATTCAAAGAAACAGGACCAAATTGAAACGAAAAAAAAACAACTTGAATTATAAGAAGAACTAAAAGACATGAGCAAAAGTAACAGTTCCATCCATTTCTCAAAATTCACTCTAGATGCTCTTCTTTTTTTAATAATTCAATTCCTGATTTTTAGGGAAAAGATAAAAAGTTATTAAAGAATAAGGAAGGAGAGAAAAAGCAATAAATTGACTACATTTTGATGAAAAAATAATAATTATCAGTGTCCTTTGAACAAGAGGAGTTCCATTAAAGTTTTTTTACCTTTCATTTTGTAAAAATAATAGATCACAGATTGTAATTTTTTTAATTATATTAATTAAAAATAAGCTTTTAAAAAAAAGCTAATTTAACCAAGTTCATGACAAAGTTTAAAGTTTGGTAGGTTAACTTTGTTTGATTCAAAATATAATTATTTTAACATTTAAAAAAAATAAAAAAAATGATATTATGTAGAAATTTCTAAAGTCAAACAAAGTTTTGGGAAATAAGTTTTTTTAAAAAAGCTAATTTAACCAAGTTCATGATAAAGTTTAAAGTTTGGTAAGCTAACTTTGTTTGATCCAAAATATAATTATTTTAAGATTTAAAAAAATAAAAAAAATGATATTATGCAGAAATTTCTAAAGTCAAACAAAGTTTTGGCCAGGTTGACAACATTACCGAAAGTTCTCTATATTAACATATGAGTTATGTATTTTTTAATATGTTTTTATTAAATTCATGTTAAAATTATTATAACATTTTGTTTTTAGACTAGCTTTCATAATTTTGATGAGATGTCATCTAAAAGAACAAATGTTATGGCAAAAATAATTATAGAAAAAAAGACCTTGTTAATAAGATAAATGAGGTTTAATTAAAGATATGCATTTTTTATCCTTCTTTAAAATTGTCCAAATTTGTTTTGATATTTGCTTTAATTATTTTTTATATTTATTAAATAAAGACTATAAAACTAAAACTTATATTTTTTTTCTTTAAAATAAAAAGATTAATGAGAAAAGGAGGTATTATACTAATAAATTATTAAATTATTACTTTTCTTTAATACATGTTAACATATAATTGAACAATAATTGAAACATGAGATCATATCACTTTAGTTATATTTTTTCCCTGAACTTCTTAATTTAGCCTTTGATTATCGTTAACAACTCTTTCTAATATAGTTCACTACTATATTTAATAGTTTTACCAATAAAATATTCTATCAATATTTAAAGTAAATTATTCAAGTATTATTACTTTTCTTGAATACATGTTTTTTTTTTTCATCTGTAAAACATTCAGTTTTTTTTTACCGATATAAATGCTAACAGAAAAAAATGTTGGTTTTATAGACGAAAAAGAAGTTTACATGCTAGAATGTACCTACGGAATAATTTTGTCAGTGATTGATAGTGATATTTAGAGTAATTTTATGCCAAACTTCTGTAAAATACTAACGAAATAATTTCGTCAATGATGTAATAGTTGAAGTGTCATGTGTAGTAAATGTTTTCTAACTCTTTAGTATAAATCGACAGATTGAGTCTGTCAATAACTCCTTCCATAATAATTTAAAAATATATTTTTGAAAAAAATATATTGAATAGAAAAATTAAAATTGGATAAAATTAAAATTAAAAAAATTCCAGTAAAATTAAATTAAAAATTAAAGAAAATAATTAAGAAAAATAAAGTTGTATTAAATTCAAGTATGTAAAAGTAAATTATCTCAATATAAAAGCTAAATATTCATTACAAATTTATTCAAATAAAATTAAATTAGAACAAAGGCAGCGCTAGAGGAGGAGGAGGATGGTCGTTCCCTGGATCATAAGGCAAAAAAGGGGGTGCTCATATACCACTCATATATGATCTAATATTCATAACCATTCAATGAAGTTCTCCTTATTCTGTAGAGAGTCGTTTATATTTTTCAGTTAGAAGGGTTATATGTTCTTGCAAGACCACAAACTCCTAAGATTGGATACTTGATATTGATTGTAACCCCTCAATGGTTGAGACACAACAGGTCATCCCCAAGTTTTCGATCGTAGTATTAAAGAGTTCATACACCTGATTTCTATCAGGTCCACTAGACAATCTTGTCTCTATTCACAAATCTGGATTGAAATCTGGGTGGGTCGAAGGATCGTCTTTATATCTCTGCCTAAACTGATTGTTATATATATATATATATAATACATACCTTACAAAAGAAAATGGTTGAACGAACATATTACAAAGTGTTGAGTGCGGTTGTCGACGACTTATTGCATCTTTTTTTAGCGATCTTTACTCTGTATTTGCATTTCCATAAAAAGTTTGATTGTGCTTGGCTCACGTCCAAGAGTCATAACCTATAAGGAAAAAAAATCTAGTTAAAATATATTTATAAATGAAAAAAAATGATTAAATATAAACGTGATTAAAATTAATCTTGCCATTAACTTTGCATGTTGAATAAACAGAATAGAGTCACTGATGACACGACCAAAAGATTGATTTCTTCTCCCAAGTGTAGGAGTGTTAGAGTAATAAATAACTCGGTAAGACCTGGGTCGAACCACAGGAAGGTTAACTATATAAATTATAAACAACAACAACAACAAGAATAGTAGTAGTAGTAGTAGTAGTAGTAGCAGTAGTAAGTTAAAAAGGACTTTGAGATTGCAAGATTAATATGAGAATTGAATAATGATAAAAACAAATATCAAGGTTAGAAGGTTCACTAATGGTATTCCAAAAAAGTATAATATAAACTCTTTTTATTACTCAACTGTAAACCTCACACAAAGAAGGTTCCAACCAGATTATAAATTGTTAACATCATTACATTAGTTATCTTATTTGAATAATATTAATACTTGTAAATGTTGTCAGGTATTCATGATTATAACTTATATTAATAACAAATCAAGTTTCTTTTATAGCATAAGTGTTAGTTATACCATACGGTTGGGCTATGAAATTATCAAGTATTTATTGTGCCAAGTGTTATACAACATAAATCTAGATTAACCGTTTAACAAACCAAGTATTAAAAGTGAAGATAATAAATACAAAATATGTTACTATCATACATTAAGGTCCATGTTAAGTTTATACTATATTTATTCTTACACCATTAGTGTAACCATTTCACCTTGACATAATAAACTTAACTAAATATAATAAAATAGAGAAATATAAATACACAAGATAAAAATATAAATAAGTTAAAAGTTAACTAAGGAAAGGAAATGAGAAGTATAAACAAGAGATTAATATATGCAAAACTTAAACATTACAATAAAGAGAGAGCAAGAACATGACCTTAATCTGAAAACTGAGATACCTAAATGCATGGCAAATGCCTCCTTTTATAGGCCAAAATTAGAAACTATTGATTTGTTAACTAAATGTTAAGTGGGTGGTTATATTTTGACTTGGTGACAATCCTTATCTTCTTGTCTAAATAAAATATCATTACTAACGTCAGAATTTGAGTAGACTTAATTCATGAAAATTCTAGAAAATTATCTCAGCTTTCCAACCAAAAAACTTCAAGTCATTTGGACTTCTAGAACTCAAGATATGGGCTGAACACTGAATAGTGTCTGAGTTGTAAGACAGATTTGGACTTCTTAGTTGTTACTAAGAATTAGTCTAAACAGTAGATTTGAGTCTTGCATTCCATGAATGTTTTAGGCCTATATCTTAACTTTCCATCCATATAGAGTAGACCTAAATCCAAGTTCTACAACTCCAGATATGACCCAATGACTGAACA